GAATAGGAGAAGCACAGGAAACCCTCTTGCCGGAGACCTTGCGAGTGGGTAACGAGACATCGTCACCTCACAGACGAGAGGGACAAGCATCAACTGAGTACGACGTCGTATGGCACACCGCAACATCCAGCACGGCACTGAAGCATGAGCTTCAGTCTTCGATGTCCAGGACACCCAGCACCGCCATGAACTGTGCAGCACACGCTCCAACTAGTTCTATGCCTCTGCCAGTTTTCCCTAGCTGTCGACCACCACAATTTATGACTGCCCACATCCTCCGGGCCGCCGTGTGAAATCAAGAGAGCTCGATACTATGTCCGCGATGTCCCAGTGTATACGGCGGTTCTGTCTACTCCTTTGCACCAATGTCGATCACATGCAAAGAAACGTAAGCATGGCCAGTCCAGAGTCTGGCGCGCCAGCTGGAATCTTCATTGCAGCGGAATCCCGAGGTGGCTATGCTGGAAACGATTTGAATGCATGCAGACTTGTGGTGGCGATGATACGATGACAGAGTAAAAGGTAAGCTAGAACCGTATTCGACGGAGCAGAAATTGTTCTGTTGACAAACAGAGGTCGTTCTCAAAGAACAACCGAAACGCTGAGTGCCGTGGAGTTGACAATTAAGCACGACATTCGGCCAGGCCCTACCACTATTAACAGCTTTAGTGGACCGCACATGCTGTAGAGTACCCGCAAAGGCACTAAAATGAACTGTGGCGGGGATGGACATCACGACAGTGGCAGTTTCACACGCGAGAAAGAAAATTTGTTCACTTCATTCCACTTCACCTTGAGCTCCTTACCGCCCGCCGGATCGCTGTGCCCTTCCCCACGCCGCAGCGACGGACCTCGCATGACCATGCCCGATGATGCGACGGCAGGCTTGATTTTTGCCTCGGACCAGGCCAACCACAATTTTGCACGCGTTCTCGGCGACCTCCGCCGGTCTCACCTGTCCATCACCCACCGCTTGCACTCCATCTGCCGCGATGCCGCCTTTGTGGCGGATGTGGCTGCGCGCTACCCTGATTTTTCCGTGGTCGCCAACGAGCGCTGCGGCAGCTGGTATATTCCGGTGTTTTCCAAGGCCGGCTCGGCCTACTTCAAGTCCACGGATGGCCACACAGGCCAGTGGAAGTTTAGCACGCGCCGCCTCAACTTGCACATACTGCCACTGCTTTGCAGAGACTCCCCCGAGAAAGGCGGCGGCTGCATACTAGTCGATTCCACCCGCCGGGGAAAACGCATGCCCGATGCGCTAAGCAAGACGGTTCCGCTGTGGTGCTGTGTGCTGAATCGAGCGCTCTTCCCTGCACATGTGCCAGAGGGCCGGAACGAGGCAGAACAGACGGACGCTCAAGCTCTCTACACACCACCTGGTGTCGTCTCGGCCTCCGAGCACAGCCAGATGCTCGCACGCGTGCCCGCATTTGTCGATGCTCTGGGTGGACTCGGTGTGTTCCGACTCGGGGAGGAGACGGACGCGGACCCCATTGCGTGGCGCCGGCAGAATCTGCCCAACGACAAACCCCTGCGCCCTGTTTGGGTGACGCCCGACATGCCGTGGCCTAATGTCGACCACCTGCGCGACCGCTTTAATGTAGTCCTGTGCTGCACCTCGTCACGCGTTCCACCAACTGGCGAGGACGTTGAAGATGGAGTGGACGCTGACTACATACAAGGCGCTGCTGACGATACCGAGAATTGGGCGCATGGCTTGACTCCGGAACTGTTCTGGGCGAATTGCGAGAAGCTCCTCGACACACCCGAGGCTGATCTGCCGGAAATGATCGCAGCGATTGTCAAGGCCGGCAGCGAAAGCGCAGTCTCCCAGGGTGGCGCAACGTTTTCTGCGACTGTCATCACACCGCACCTCTCCGTCGGGCAGTGGACGGGTCCATCTCCACCAACAGCACCGGAAGAGTCCTCGGGAGTCTGTCAAATTGCCTTTGTTCGCCAGACGACCGAGCCTGTGACGTGGGTGCGGTCACCCACCAGTCTTGAGGTCGGACTTGGCAAGCAAGATAAGATTGCTGGGCGGACGCTGCGGCATGCGCTCTCCCAAATCTGCGAGTTTGTCGCAGACTTCTTGATGAAGGACAACGGGTGCTCATCCATAAAGAGCGTGCGCATACTGTGCCCGACTGGACGGGACATCTCTGTAGGCACGGCCTTGGCCCTTCTCTGTTACTGTTTCGACGAGTCGGGCAAAACACGGACAGCTACTTCGCATGCTACCATTGTCAACAAAGACGTCATTCGCGTGCGGCTGGCCCGCATCATGACAGCCATGCCTCACGCGAATCCCAGCCGGACCACCCTGCAGAGCGTCAACAGCTTCCTGATAGACTGATCTGAAGGGGCTGGGGTACGCTGGCACCACTCGAACGAGATTAAAGAACATCGCGAAATACCATTCGCTTCCAAGTAGCAATGACAACGATATGATGCCCGACTTTCTATACTCTGAGAACAAGAAAAGCAATGCTCTAGACGTTATAGTCTTTCTGTATCGATTGTATATAGGATCGCCTCCTTCGTCTAGCTCGTCTCGTACGCCGCCGATATGCCATCTGCCTGCCCTTGCTCGCGTATGATTTCGTCCAGCCTCTACAGTTTGGAAATCTCCTCCAGCTTCGCCGGGAACTCGTCCCAGCTCTGCATAATCACCTGCGCACCCGCGTCGCGCAGAACCTTCTCCATCTCCGCCCGCTTGTCCACCGCGTAGGGGCCCACGTAGCCAATCGTCGGAATCTTTGCCCGCGTCGCGCTCAGCGTGCCGCTGCGGCTGTCTTCGACGGCCACGGCCTCGCTGGCCGTCTTGCCCAGCTCCTTGAGTGCATGCAGGTAGATGGCCGGATCCGGCTTGCTCGTCGGTGTCGGCAGGCTCGTTGCCGCCGAGTACACGTGGTCGGGCGCAAAGAAGCGGTCAAATTTCACAACCTCGAGACTCGCCTTGACGCGCCGCAGCGCCGACGACGAGACAACCGCCAGCAGCTGTTTGTTCTCCGCCTTGAGCGCCTCCAGCTGCGCCTCCACGCCGACGCACGGCTTCAGAGCCTGGCGCAGCTTGGCAATCACAACCTCCTCTTCGCGCAGCACATACGAGTTGGTCTCGTCAGCCGTCAGCGGGAATCCGTAGCGCGACTGCAGCGACGTGAGCATGCCGCGGAAGTTTTGGCCGACAAACTCGGTGATGAGCGTCGGGCCCGTAAAGTTGGGCAATGGCGACACGCCCTTTGCCTCGCAGATCTCGTTGAGCAAGTCGGCGCAGCCCTCGAACGCAAGCTCCTCGGAGAGGACGAGCGTGTTGTCGCAGTCGAACAGGATAGTGTTGATAGCCATTGCGGCGGTGGTGGGGGACGAGACAGGTGTGGAGAGTGTGAAATAGAGACGACAAGGTTGTCTGGTTGTGAATGAAGGAAAAAGCGGAAAAGTGGAAAAGTGGGAAAGTGGATGTAGAGTAGAGACGGTTTGTAGATCGTTGTTGAAAAGGAAAGTTGAACAAAGGAACTGCAACAGATGGGAACGCGAGAGATTTAAACTCAGAAACGGCCGCCGGTGGCTCCTTCTCAATAAGGGACATTGAGGGAAACGGAAACCGCAAACCACTGTTAAAAAGTGGAGATCCGTCGAAACCAAATCAAGGGGAAAGAGAAGAACGAGGCACAAAACGAATATTACTTGCAGGCTCTCTGCATCAAAAGTGGGAATGGCCTCGCCCGCGTTCTTTTCTTGTTTCAATTCACAAGCCGTCCATTGTACTACACGACGTCTGCATTCTGCTACAATTCTCGCTTCTTTTCATCTTGAAGTCTTCATCCTGTTCATCGTTGTCGCCTCAGGCTGCATTGTTTGCTCTTTCCCTGTTTTTGGTTTTGACCCTCTCCTTGAGTGTGCTCTGGCTCATTCTTCCACGCCGTTCGTTGTTTCCTTGCCCGAACCGTTTCTTGGCTAGGATAGCCCGTGTGAAGTCTCTGACGTGCATTGCATGCCGTCGTATTTCCCTCTGTTCCTTCCGCCACCACGCCACAACTTGTTCCTTCTTAATTGGCCATTGGCATCCTGCATGCTCTTCTTTCCTCTTTCAACCCCTTTCCCATCCGGTCCTTCTATTTTCGGCCGGAAAGTGATGAAGAAAGGGAAGTCAGCTCTGTTGTCTCTTTCTGTTTCGCGACAAGCTTCAACCCCACCAGTGTCGTCATAGGGTGGGGCCTCCTCCGATGTAGCTACAGCTTAGCTTACTTCAAGCGCACGACCTTCCCCTTTGCCCGAAAATTCGCAAACACGTGATAGTTCACGTTGAACGTTGAGGCAGAAGCAAGGGGAATGGGACGAGAACACAACAAGCTGCCTTCTATATGACTTTCGTCACCTGTTTTCTTCCTCTTCCAAACCCTTTTTCTGCATCTTCCAAACAATATCCCGCGTACTTGACACTATGTCTTGCTTCGATGCACCGGTTATCGCTGCGACCGGTTCGACAGCCATGTCTCCACACGGCCACCGACGCGGCCAGTGTCGCAACGTCAACAAAAACGAATCGAATCAATTGAAGCCAATTGGTTGACTGCTGGACCGTTTCAAACCTATTTCGACGAAGAATGGCTCCAAAACGTGTACGCCATGTGGCGTCTGTGGCATTTGGGGGCTCGCCTCGTTGACAATAATACATCGATAACTTGTCAGGCAGATCAGGGGGACCCAAAAAAAGTTAAATTACGAGTTTTGTCCCTGGTCCAAATTTCGCTTTGGCTGTACCTGCTCGAGCCGTGCGCAAGCAACCAACGTAAAGTCTGATCAAAACGTTTGTTTTGTTTTGTTTTGTTTTTGTACATTTACTTTTCACGGATACCTAACGTCTTTTGACGTCCATTTTACCAATTTGGCCACCACGCATAACTTCATATATGGCCCGAATGCCACCGACATACTCCACGCAAATGCCCTGACGGGCCGCACGGCCAATTTTCTGCTCTCATACCCTACCCTAGACGATGCCTTCTGTCCATGACGAGGGGGCTGAATGGCGCGCCCAAGGCCGTTATGCCCTATCGGACTACCTTTACATCCGACCCTACGATGTCAATAATCTCGAGGAGTTTTTGGACGGCCTCGAAAGGCGATATGATGTCGTTCGGGCATTAGCAGGCGAGCAGAACGACACCGTTCGGATATGGCACTGCTTGAACATGCTGGAGGACGCAGATCCGCACTGGGAGAACCGGCTGCATGCTTTCAGGTCCAAGCGTATGCCCAAAACGAAGAAGAAGAAGAAGAAGCTTGAGAAAATCGAGTGGGAGTTGATCCAAAATTGGGATGATTTTGTGCGGCTGATGATATACAGGGGCGGCAAGATGCAGTTTCGGCCGCCTGCTGACGACGAGGAAGTAGGACTGAATGCGACAGCAAGGACGGAGCATTCGGGGAATAACTCGGCTGTGAATCCAACACCCGTTGACAAGCAACCTCTCGACAAGCAAGTTGTCGAAAAGCAACTACCTCTCAGGTTAGCTGCAGAAGCGGCAAAACCACTTGTTGCGGAAAATAACACGGCCGAAACGGCCGATGCGCTCGGCAACTATCGCAACCCCATGTCCAAAGCATCTGCAGAGGCCAAAGGCACAACAACCAAGGATAAACCAGACTTGATCGAAGCATCAAAACTCGACAGCCAACAGACAGTTGGCGACACTGCGAAGCAAGGCCGTTCTGTCGGAAAAGAAGACACACTTAGGACCAGCGTCACACAGCCCTATGAGACGACCGCCACGAGCTACAAACTTGAAGGAGACGACGAAGACTACGACGACTGCGGTGACCACGATGGGCCAGACAGCGGCTATGCTGACGACGTGAACTACGAAGATGTTGATGTCGACGAGCCCGGCGACAGAAATGAGGAGGACATTGTACTCATCAACGGTGAGATCCGGTACCAGATCCCAGGTTATGCATTACGCAAAAAGCCACGACACACTCTCATTTCCGCGCCTCGCTTTGTCATAAAGAGTTTCTTCCGCTCAAAGTTCCCCGGCTGTCCTCGGTGTCCCGAGTGCCGTTGTCAGCACCCTACCAAACACTATATGCTCTGCTCGTTCTGCGACTTTTGCCACGTGGGAGGCGACGCGGAATGTTACCATCAGCACCCCGAGCTGCGTGGCACACGGCCTGCCAAGGACAAGTACCGGCAGGCCTCGTCACCAGTGTCCGACACCGAGCCCCAGAATGAGCCATTTTCGGAGTCTGATGTGGACACCGTCAAAGGCGTCAATGACAGCTATAAACAAATCCGTTCGGCGGACAGCATGGAAGATTTGGCCTGCAGTCTGGATGCCTATGTCATTATTGAGAAGGACACAGTTCATCAAGACAGTGCCAACAAACAGTTTGTGTTCACAGACGGAGCTGCAACCTCGACAAGTGGGAAGCCGTCTGCCACTGCCAAAGTCAACTATACTGTCGACCTGCCTGTCCGAACGAAAACAAACGAGGGACACAACATTGCACTGGGCATAGCCAAGCCACCAGCAACGAAGCAAGCTGGCCAGGCAGTACAGAGCCAAGATGCGACAAACGATATTTCCCAGCGGACAAAGAGACTGGAAACAGCATCGACATCGGTGCCGGAGTCAGCTTTTCTGCCGACACCAGTGTCCGCCATGACGGCCCCAGTCGCAGTTGAGCAAGCGCCTGCGCCAGCGTTGCCCGCGCCTAAGACAGCTGCCCCCACAACGAGTAATGGCGATGAAGGCGGGGCCCGTCTCAATCCAGAGAACCTGTCACGGGTACCTCACGACCAAACACACCGTCGGTGGGCCTCTATGTCGTCCTTGACTACGTCGTCTTCCGGGACCTCGTTGGTTGCTTTCCGGCGCCACCGAACCGACCAAGCCAAGAAGAAGGCTGCTGTAAGCAAGGCTGCTGCAAAGGAGGCAGCAGCCGCAAAAGCCATTGTGGCAAATCTCGTAACAAAGACAGCCGCTGTAAATAAGGCCGTCGCTGAGAACCGTATAGCCACAGACACATTGCTGTTTGACTCGGACGCTTGGAGGACGAATGGAGGACTGCCAGTGCAAGATAACACTGCACGGCTTGCCCTGCTCGTGCCTGAACAACGGAAACAAGAGGCAGAATTTGCAGCACGAATCGCCGAGAGACAGTTACGAAACGCGCAACACAAGGCGACTGACGAAGCGCAGCGTCTGGCCCGAGAAGAACAGCGCATCATCAACAAAAAAACCAAGGCCGCTCAAAAGCGAGAGCGGCAGCGGGAGCAGAGGCGAGAGAGACAGGAGGAAAAACAGAGGGAACAGAAAATGATTGGAAATGGAACAACAGGAGCAGGAACAGGAACAGAGCGATCTTAGAGAAGCAGAAGAGGCTGATGGGAAAAAAGATTGATAAGTGTACTCGAAAGGGCCATGGACCTCATGCGCCCCGAAGACGGCGACAAGGAGAAGGTAGAAGAAAGGTCACGAATGACGGATATTGGTGTCCAGTCACTTACCGGGAATGGAGGCCTGGATAGCTTCGAGGGTTCGACGTCATTTTCTCGCTATGCACTTAAGACTTCTCCAAAGAGGACGCGATACCATAGAAGCGGCCATTGTATAACAGGACAAGCGACAAAATATGTACAATACAATATAGAATACACAGAGTTATGCATTGCTTTTTGAGCTGTTGGCGCTCGTTGGCAAACCCAATCAGTATGTAGAGAAGCAATGGAGGAGGACAAGGTAGAGAGCCACGTTGAGCCAAATGCATTATATCGCAAACCTCGGAACGCCGACAATAAGCATAATAATCCAGCCACCTATGCGTCGCAAAACAAAATATAAAGCAAAACAACAAAACATCAAAATAAAACCGGCAAATCAGACGCCGGAGGACTACAGCGGCGGCAGTTCTTCACGGCAGATGGGACACTGCAGGCGGAAGCGCAGCCAGCCCTCGAGGCACTTGGTATGGAAGATGTGGCGGCAGGGCGTGACCATATACTGGCGACGAGCCAATACGCCCGAGACGCTGCTCGCCACAGACGACACACCAGCTTCATCGGCGCCTGCGCGCACGACGGGCACATCCAAGGCCTCGCAGCAGATGGCGCAGTCCATGGTCCAGATGTTGGTGTTGGCAGCGATGCTGTTGCTGGCCAACGTGGAGGGCGTTGGATTCGAAGGTCGCCGCTTGGCCGCGCCAGCAGGCCCCTCGTCGGGGCTGGTTGCGGGTGCCTCGGCCGTCGACACGAGGCCGATAGGCAAGCCGCCAGCCTCGACGTTGTCCTCGCGCAGCACGGGGTGATATTCCCAGGCCTCGGGGACCCAGCTACTGGGAATGCCGAAACGCGGGCCGAGCTCGTGCTGGGCAGCCAGGATCCACAGCTGGACCCAGACCCAGGCGACGAGCGCGGTAAACGCGCGCCAGTCGGTCTGGGCGAACAGAATGTTGTCGGTTCGCAGGTAAAAGTAGGCAATGGGCAGCAGGCGCAGGAGAGACTGTCCGAGGATGAAGCGCCAGGCAAAGGCGCGGCGACTGTTGCGCTCGATGTTGCGGGCAATCTGAGGCAGCCACATCGACAGGTAGATGAAGCACAATATGTTGGCATAGGTGGCACGCAGCGAGGCCCACCAGGTCGACGCGGCGAGACTGAGGAACATGATGACGATGCCGATCATGAGCATGCGGCCGGCCATGTTTGAGAAGGGCGCCGAAGGCGGTAAGATGGGCGTGGTTGCCGTCGTGGCAGGAGCATCTCCTGTTGCTGCTGTAGCGCCGCCAGGACCTGGAGCCGTCGCGGGTGCCGGTAAGAGAGGAGTCGCAGCAGCGCGGGCGTTGTCGGCAATCTCGGCGTCTATGTCTTGGTCAGACGGCACGATAATCGGCGGCGATGATGCCCTTGCTGTCACTGGTGGAGCAGGTCGAGCAGGTGGCGCCGGTGTTGCTGCAGGTGGTGTTGCTGCGGTTGCTCCAAGTCCCGTCGCGGTGTTAGCCGTGTTTGTGGAGGCCGCCGCGCGGATTCTGGCAATGTTGGCATAGTGCTCGCGCAGTCGCTCGCGGATCTCCATCTGTCGCTGCTGGATTTGCTGCAGCTCTTGGCGGTCACGTCGTCTGCGCTCGGGCTCCTGGGCCGTGTAAATTTCGGACAAAAAGTAGCCGCCAATGGTCATGGACGTAAAGGAGGAAAAGGTGACGACGAGCGACGGCAAGAAGCTCGCAGACGCCGTTAGGGCCCAGGTCGCAGCAGCGCCAAAGACGAGACCGTCGGCGAGCACCATGGCGGCCATCGTCGTAAAGCTAATGCGGCCCAGCGTGGACGGCGTGTATGTTTCGCGAACCTGACCCAAGAACAGCTTGACCTGGCCAAAAAGTACGGCAGAAAACGCGAGCATCAACAAGCGGGCGTCGTAAACAATGGCCTCAGACTTCTTGCCGCGCAGGTGCACCAGAGGCTGTTTCTCCTGTCCAAAAAGACCACCTGCTTGGCCTTCGGTGCCAGCACCGGCGGCATAATGCGGCGGACCCTTGGTCTCGATAAAGTAGGCACAGTCGGGCGAGTAGAGCACGGCAGACATTTGCATGTCCGGGACGCCGCGACGGCCAAAGATGGGCGCGCCAGTCGGGAACCGAATCTCGTGCTCGATGCCCATCATGAGGCGCGTCATGTCCTCCTGGCTGTAGCCAAACTCGTCAGGAACGCTGCGAGTCTCAAGAGTCTCAAGAGCCTCGCGCGTCTCAAACGTCTGGACCGGCATGCTGGCGTTGCCAGAGACATCTCTCGTGCCCAGCGGTCCCTTGTGACTGTGCTTCGTCGGCAGAAACTGTGTCGCGTCCAGCGGGTGAATCTGCACGTACATGACGTATTCGCAGCGCGGTAGCGGTGTCAAGCCCTCGGGCGCGCCGTCGACGTTGGACGACCACAGCGGCGCTGACAAGGCCGGGTCGGGCGGGCCAAAGATGCGCGTGGATTCGCGCTTTGCAAGTGCCGCGTCGAGTGTGCGGTTGAGGAGTCGTTTGCTGGAATCGAAAAATGGGCGGCCGGGCGCCAGGTGTGGCAGTCCAAAAATGCCGGCAAACTTCTCGCTGGTCGTCGTCAGCAGCAGGGCGCCCTGCCGCGGCCAGTGCACGCCGTAGAGGCGCATGTCGTACGAACTGCCAGTGCCCTCAATGTCCTCGAGCGTGACCGTGGCCGTGGTCGTGCGCACAAGGCCGCCAGTGGGCGGCTCGTCGGCGAAGCGGTCGGTTTCGTCCGCATATTCAGCCTCGTCGTCCTGGTCCGTGACGCGCAACACCATGCGTCCGTTGAAGCCCGTGATATTGCGACCCCACTCCATAGCTTGCAAGGGAAAGGGCCGTGGTCGAAGAGGGTGCTGGTCGTGCTGGTCGGGCTGGTTGGGTTTGGCATCTGCCTTGGTGTCTGCGTTTGCGTCTGCGTTTGATGACGCAGGCTGTGCTCCATTGCCTTCCACGGCACTCCGTCGGCCTAACAAGCCGCCCGCAGCAGCAAGGGCCATTGCAGTCACGTTCTTGCCGCCTGTCACGGCGTCTGTATTGTTTGCGGGGGGTGCGCCGACCGAAGTCCGAGGCCCGCTGCCAAAGAAACCAGTGCCGCGCCCGGCCACATCGTTGGCCGCGCCCAAGTCATAGGCCTGCGCCGTGATCGCCGACAGGTTGTAGCTCGACATGTGCCGCTCGACAGACCCCGGCCGGCGCACCCACTCGCCGGCCACGAAGCTGGTGGCGTTCTGCCAGGTAAGCATAGTCTCGCCGCGGTCCCATAGACTGACGCCATTCACCATGGGATAGGCGTTGCGGCTCCATTCGAGGCAGCGCGCGCGGAAGCGGTCCAGATCGTCCCACGCGAGGTTGTCTTCGCGACGAAAGCCTGTCAAGTTGAGCCAGCCGGCCATGTCCTCCGTAGTCCCGTTGGCTTTCGTATCGGGTGGAGGAGACGTTGTGTTCGGCGCAAAGTCGCCCCACTGTGTCGGCTGGATTGCCTCAAAGGCGGCGCGCTGGCGGCCGACACGGGCCATGATCAGCGACGGCGCCGACAGGATGCCGGCCGTGGCGTCGTTGCTAGTGTTGATCCACAAGATCATCATCACGAGGAGGATGAACCTCGCGTTATCCTGCGGTTGAGGCATGGCCGCGGGTGTGAGGAGGGAGGGAGGAAAAGGAGAATCGACTCCGGTCGTGTGGGACCCGACTACCGAGGGCGGAGGTTGGAGGGCATCATTTGGGAGGAGGCGGGGTGGAGGGAGGGCGTGAGGCGGTCGAGAATGTTGAATGTGGTGATGTCGTCACGCGATTAGATGCCAATGTCGAGATGATCGTCAGGCGGGGTGTCGATGCGAGGAACGATGCTGCCTATGTACATGCGATGGCTGGATGTCGATTTCTCATTTGTATTACGTCTGTGTTCGTAGTAGACGACGGACGTCGTGATGCAGCGTCGTCGAATGTGGAGTGGTGATGTCGAATGATGACAAAAAGGAGGTACTTTTGGTCAAGCTGTCTGTTGGTGGCTTTGGCAGGAGTGTCTCGTGATCCGGCGCGGACGGGAAGGCGCAGAAGGTCGGTCCACTTTGGAGCATTAATTATATGGGGTATTACGTTGTATTAGCGATTTAGCGCTGTCTTAACAGTTGGCGTTCCGTTGGAAAGTCGAGAAGGTGCTACCCTCCATGCTTGCCGCAATTTACAGTCTGAATTCTGCTAGAGTCGCTATGACCGCCATGAATGGAAGGAGCCGGACCTCTGCTTGTTCTTGTCATGAAACCAAAGCTTCTCAATCTAAACTCTTCAGCAATACAGTGAATTGCCCCTTCTCCTAACCAAACGTCACACGGCAACGACAAAGTCTCAGTGGCTGTTGCAAAAATGTATTTTCATAGTCCGTCAAGTCCAGCATCGACACAGCGACCTTGGTATTGACCACAGAGTCGTCGGCAGCGATCAAAACGTTACGGATGTACATCATTTGCGTAAGGCGTGCAGAGCATTGTTTGAATGTCGACGGGTCTTGCTCGCGGAGAGACCATGTATCTGTCCCATCACTCCCGCCGATCGATAGAGGATTTGTACAAGGTTGTACAAACAAAACACACAAAATCGAATGAATTTATAACTTGAATAGACATAGAGAAAGCTGCTTTCCGCCCTTACACAACCATGCGCACTTTGAGCTTGTCGCCCTTGACGATTTCGTCTTCCTTACTCAGCAGCTCTTCGACGTCCCACGTTGCCGACAGGTACCGCGCCGCCAGCCACAACCGCCGCTTCTCGGTCAGGTACACAATCACGTCCGCCGCTAACTTTGGCGTCTCGGTCAGGTAAGACTGCCGTTCCAGGGGCAGCCGCCGGCCCATGTCGGTCAACACGCCGCCCGGGTGGATGGCAAACGTCAGAATGCCCTCGGGTGTGTTCAGGCCGTGGTCGACATCCAGAAACTCGGTGAACCGCTGCAGCGCCAGCTTGCTCGTTTGGTACGCGGAGCCGCCCGGGGAGAGTAGGTGGGCGGCAATGCTGCTGACGTTGACAATCGTGCCGCCGCCGTCTTTGGGCGACGTGATTTGCGACAAAAAGGCCCGCGTCACCAAGTACGGCCCGCGCACATTGACGTTGAAGGTCTTCCACCACTCGGCCGGGTCGCTGTCGCCAATCTTGGCGCGCTTCTCGAGGAAGCCGGCGTTGTTGACGAGCACGTCGATGCGCGGAAACGTCTTAGCCACCGTGGCGGCAGCCGCAGCGACACTGTCCTCGTCTGTGACGTCCAGCGTCACGGCCACAACCTGCGGCGGCGCTTTTCCAGCGGCCTTCGCTGCGGCCGCAAGAGGCTCTAGCAGGTCTTCAAGGCCCGAGCGCGCACCGATGCAAATGCCGGCGGCACCAGCGCTGGCAAACGACAGAGCCGTCTCGCGGCCGATGCCCTTGGAGGCACCCGTGATAAACACATAGCGGCCGGAGAAGTCCCGCTTGCTCGGGTCGACCGTCGGATAGGTGTCCTTGTGACGCTCGTTGACAAAGTGGGAGCCTGTCTTGTCAGAAGGCGTTCGACGCACGCTGTTGGCAGAGAGATTTGACTTACCTGTATGGGGTTCGTGGCTCATTTTGGTCGGCTTTCAGTCGGCGTTTTTGAAGCAGTAGAGAGTCAGTTGGTGATGAGCAACGCGAGGCAAAGAGAAACAGCGGGCGAGCAGTGCACGGCGACACATGTGAATGCAGTCAAATGACAAAAGCCGAAAGACAGTCGGATACTCAAGATACAAGAACAGAACGTAAAATAAAAATCCGTGACAGCTTTGTCGTGTCTCAAGTCAAGGAAAAGCCCCGCTATATCCGATGGTGCAATCCATATGCTGCTGCATGTGCGTTATTAAGCGTTGCTGGCAGAGGCCGGTCAGTGCGAGCACTGTACCCGGACCGGAGTCTTTGCCCACACCCATCTCCGGGTGGCGGGCAGATTATGCGTATCGCGGGATAAGGATGTTCCAATAGACTCTTTGGATGCAGGCAAGGTAGCCACGACGGCAAGACCAATTGCTACTTGCACGGCAGGAAGGGGCTTGCAAATCGGCGTGATGTTTTACAAGGAAGGAGCGAGGCATGCAAGGACGACCCGTATGGTCGATTTGGAAGGTGGAAGACCGTCTTGGTGGCCTAGCCGTTCGGCGGAATACAGAGGGCATGACCATACGACGTCAACCACGAATACGGAAAGTAGCTGTTGGTGGGCCAGTGGGGCTTCCCAGCTTTTCTTACCTAAGCAGTCAATTACAGGGATTACAGGGGGCTGCCGTTACAGGGAAGCGACCAAATGCTTCAACCGCATCAAATCATCACGGTGCCACACCGCAGACGTGACAACTTGAGCCGCTGCCTGTTCTACTCTGTTTACGTACTGATATACGGGGCATTCGTGCTAAACAAGAGCCTTCATCATGTCCTCCAACAACAACGACTCAAGCCAGACGACAGTAAGTTGACAATACACTTTAAAGCACTGAATGTCCCCATGCTGGCTTCAGGCTTCCTCCTTGCTAGACGGATCTCGCTGATGCTCTTCGTTGTCTCCCTTCTTGGTCAACTAACAAGCCACTCAGTCGTCCGACGATGCCCGTGCCGACCTGACGGCGCAGCTTGATGATCTCCTCAACTCGGTGTCTAACAAGTTTGCCGGCGTTTCGAGCGAGATTTTTGCTAAGAGTACGTGTGGCGGTTTTTGTTTTGATTTTGTTCTTACATTTTATAACGATATTCTACCTCCTCATAACGTCAAATATCTAACACATGCAGTGGACGAAATGTCGCGTCGGTTGGACAACCTAGAGGCAGCTCTGAAGAACAAGGAGGACGGATCGAAATAATAGCGAAAACCAATGGCCGACTTGATCACAGGAAGGATAAAAAACACACATATCACCAATAACCGGACGTAGCATACAATTCAAATACATAACGATACTTTCAATTTATTCGAGCCCATTATTGACAGCTTTATTTTGTCCCCCCTAGTTAGACATTTCCTTTCACAACGTAGTTGCCGTTCAATGTACCTTTCTAGGAGATAAGTGCAAAGGAGAGGAGAGGCCGTTTACAGCTCGTCCTTGGCGGCGTCGTCGGCGTTCTTCTCCGCCGTCGGCTTCTCAGTGAACTTGCGCAGGATGTTGGACTTGCTTGTCAGCTCGTCAATCTTGGTCGGTGCCAGGCCGCCCTTGCCCAGGATGCTCTCCAGGCGTGCCAGCTCCTTGGCCACAAAGCCGTCGTTGGCGCTCAGCTTATCAAAGACGCGCACGTAGTACTCGGCAAACTTGCCGCCCACCTGGCCCTGCAGCGCATTGGCCGCCTTCTTGACGTCCTTGGCCGCCTCTGTCAGCGTCGCGCGGCCCGCCGCAAACTTGGCCACCAGCTCGTCCAGTGCCTCGATCGTGCCCGCGGCAGCGTCCAGGCCGCCGCCGACCGTCCGGTGCGTGCCAGCCTTCTCGTTGATGAACTTGACAAAGTCAGCCTCGCTGCGTCCGCCGGCGTACAACTCGGGCTCCTTGCTGCCGCGCGGGAAGAACTTGATGGTCGGGTACGAGGAGACGCCCTGGTCCTTGGCGACCTGCTTGCTATTCTCGGCCTCGGCGTCCACCTTGGCAATCACGACACTGCTCTCGGCCGCAAAGTCGGTCGCCAGCTTCTCCCACGTGGGCGCCAGCGACTTGCAATGGCCGCACCACGGCGCCGTGAACGCCACGAGCACGTTTTGCTCGGCGCCAATGGTTTTGCCAAAAGTCGACTCCGTCAGCATCACAACGTCGCTGGGGGCCGCCGCCTTCTTGCGGGGCTTGATGCCCGTCTTGTCCGAGATAAAAGACGTCAGGCTGTCGAGGTCGCGGCCGCCCTGGTAGTCGACAGGATCGCTGCCGGTGCCGTCAAAGAACTTGAGCGTGGGGAAGCCCTGCACACCGAACCGCTTGCCCAGCGACTTCTCGGCATCGGCATCAACCTTGGCAATCTGGACCTTATCGCTGAAGGAATATGCCTGAGCGAGGTCCTCGTAGACGGGGGCCAGGTTCTTGCAGTGGCCGCACCACGGCGCAAAGAACTCGACGAGCGTGGGCTTGCCAGAGTTGATCACCACCTTGTCAAAGTTGGACGGGATGAGGTCCAGCACGGCCGAGCCCGCGGCTGCGAGACTGGCCAGGCCCAAGAGGGCGAAAAGGGACAGACGCATGGTGTGGAAGGTGATGTTCTTGATAGGTTGATGGAACTGTTTGTCGATAAGAGGTGTCTGAGCCTGTAGCTGCAGTGTTAGAAGGTTGTGGGACAGGTGGACGAGATGGAAAACACAGCAGCAATGAATCGCATTTGCACAAAACTGTACAGATACGAGCTCACAAAGTACGTACCAAAAACAAAAAACCTAGAAATACTGGGTGAACATGAAAGTGGCCGGCACTCACAGGATGGCCGTTGGCTTTGAAATCAGAGCTCGACCGAAGAAGATGCCACTTTGCAGCTTCCCGCACTGCCATAAGGCGGCCTATAATAGTCAGGGGAGGCTGTTGCTCAGCGCCTAGGTGTTGGCAGGGGGCCAGATAAATATGGGTCCTTGTTATCGATAACCAACCTTTCTTTCCCCCTTCACGTGAAGGTTACCCACCAGCCACAATGCGCCACATCTCCGGACTCGTCTTGGACCCACAATAACTGTGGCAGACGCACAAATCCACAGCAGAGCTGCGAAATTCGAAAAAATTGCCTACGCCTGCGGGAAAAAAAAATCCCACCTGAGCCCCAGAGGGAAGGTTCGCTAGTGTAGCACTTATCCGCCATTTTCGCTTTCCCTTTCCTCTCGCCTATTTTTCGTTCCCCTTCCACCCTCACCACAACCACGCAACTTTCGCTCCCCGAGAAAAGCAAACCGTCCTTTTCGACCTCAAAACCGCAATCATGTCTCACGAGTCTGTTTGGAACTCCCGCCCGCGGTCGTACGGCAAGGGCGCCCGCCAGTGGTACGCAACCCCGATTCGAAAAGAAGAGATGGAGATCGACGTCGATGTGGACGAGAAACACGGAGAGGAAGAGATGGAAGAGATGAAAGACACTGTATCGGCGAACAAACGACATGGTAGAGGGGTGATGAAGGAACAGAAAACAAATGCTAACATTCTGCAGCCGCGTCTGCGCTCACCGCGCTGGTCTGATCCGCAAGTACGGCCTCGACATCTGCCGTCAGTGCTTCCGTGAGAAGGCCAACGACATTGGCTTCGTCAAGCACCGTTAAGCGATTTCCCCCTCCTGGGACCGGAACTCAACAGCCAAAAAATCACGATCCATTAAATTACTACAAAAAATAACGATACGGCCGTCCCTTTTCTATCTTTGTCGCCACAGGAACTTGAACCAACACAAAACGAACCTCTTTTGGAACGGAATGGAACGACGAACGTGAACCGACGAGAGGAGGAGGACGTGCTGCATGAATGAGGAGGAGGGGAACAAAATCCACTGTACGACAAGCGAGGTGTCGACGAAGACCGCGACCTCACCCACCCGACCGGATTCTCTCGGCATTTGCAGCACAACAGTACTGTACCTACCGCCAACTGAATGAGGGCCAGTATCGTGGACCAGGGGATGAAATGAGATGTATATGGGCCAAGAACAGAGGCCAAAAGAAGAGGAGGGAACGTTTTCTTTTGTGCCTTTTATTTCAGCCAAACGGGAGCATGACGGGCGGGAAAATAAAGGGGGCACACTCTTGGGATAGTTTCGCTGTCCTGTTCCCCCGAACTGTTTTGTTATTTGCTTTTTTTTCTACAGAATAAATGGAAATAATTCTGGCAACGAAGTGGCGCAATTCTGTGTGAAGCAGACACGTACACCCGACTTACACGTAACTGTTTGTCGCCATATGACGAACTTGGAACTTAAACCTTTATTTTCTAATGTACACAGTGTAGCCAGCTACCAAGGGGAAATCTTGCCGAGAGGAGATGTAGGAGATTGTTTGTCAACGATAGATACATGACGCCATGTCCGAGTCAAGAGTAAACTCGGCTCTGGCCGGTGAGGACGGGCTTGAAGTTCGCATGGCAAAGAAAATATGAAGCAGAGTAAAGCCAAAAAGAATAATAAAAAGAAAAACATGCCTTGGGTAGTCGAATCTTTGTCTTTTTATAGGTTGCCTTTCCGTTTCTTATACCTCCAGCCAGAACCGGTAGTCCGTCTCCCTGGATCTTTTGTCCAAGCTGTATATCATATCAACATTTTGTATTTTTCTTCCCTAGTATTTTGTTTCGTTAAATTCTTGTCCAAGTCACCCACACACTGTCATCTATTTGAGAATGCGGGTGACAATGCCCGTGGCCACGGTGCGGCCACCCTCACGCACGTTGATGCGCTGGCCGTTGTCGACCGCGAGGGGGTGCTGCAGGGTCACGACCATCTCGACGTTGTCGCCGGGCATGACCATCTTGGAGTGCTTGTCCTCGGTGCCTTCTGGGAAGGTCAGCGAGCAGGCCTCGTCGGCCGTGCGCAGGAAGATCTGCGGGCGGTAGTTCTCGCGGAAACCAGTGTGACGGCCACCCTCCTCCTTGCTCAGGACGTAGAGCGACACCAAGAACTGCGTATGGGGGGTGATAGAGCCGGGCTTGCAGATGACCATACCGCGGCGGACATCCTCGCGACGCACACCACGCAGCAGCAGACCCGAGTTGTCGCCGGCACGCGCCTCGTCGCACGACTTGTTGAACGTCTCAATGTCGGTGACCTTGGTCTTGATGATCTCCATGCCCTTGCCAACGAGCTCAACCTCCGAGTCCTTCTTAAGCGTACCACGCTCGACACGGCCCGACGACACGGTACCGCGGCCCGAGATGGAGAACACGTCCTCAACAGACATCAGGAAGGGCTTGTCCAGGTCGCGCTGGGGGGTAGGGATCCAAGAGTCGACAGCGGCCATCAGCTCGTCAATCTTCTGTTCGCCAATGTCGGGGCGCTTGCCGTCGAGGGCACAAAGGGCCGAGCCCATGATGACGGGGGTTTCGTCGCCCTCGAAGCCGTACGTGGTCAACAGTTCGCGCATCTCCATCTCGACAAGCTCCAGCATCTCGGGATCCTCAATGACGTCGATCTTGTTGACGAAGACGACAATCTTCTGCACACCGACCTGGCGGGCCAGCAGCAGATGCTCACGGGTCTGGGGCATCTGGCCGTCCGACGCAGCCACGACGATAATGGCACCGTCCATGTTGGCGGCGCCGGTGATCATGTTCTTGATGTAATCGGCGTGACCCGGGCAGTCGACGTGAGAGTAGTGGCGGTTTTCGGTAGAGTACTCAATGTGGGCAGTCGAAATGGTAATACCACGCTTGCGCTCCTCGGGGGCCTTGTCGATGGAGCCATAATCGAGGAAGTTGGCCATGCCTCGGTCGGCCTGGCGCTTCGTGATGGCAGCGGACAGCGTCGTCTTGCCGTGGTCGACGTGGCCAATCGTGCCAATGTTCACGTGGGGCTTGGTGCGCTCGTACACAGCGTAGCTGCGGCAGAAGCTCAGGACCGGCGACGGCTTGGCGACGCTACGCTGCAGAGCGGCCAACGGGCTCGTGCTGGGCGACCGCAGGACGACGCGGGCCGACCGCACGAACGGCGCCAGCGTCCGGAAGATGGTCGCGACCATTGTGAAGGATGTGCAAAAAGAAAACGAAAAAATAGACAGAGAGAAGAGATGACGGTGCCCTAAAATAAAAAGGCCGCGTTGGTAGAGAAGAGGGAGAGGGGAAAAGAGGAGGGAGGAGGGAAGAGGAAGGAGAAAAGAGAGGCCCAAAATAGTTTGATTTTCTCGCAGCCGCAAATTTTCGACAGCGATGGCAAGCACTCGGGCTACAGTACCACTGGGCAAGAACAAAAATTTTGGAGCTTCCAAGTGCCTCACATCCATTGGGAAGGTGCGGCCTGGGGGTAATGTGAGTCATGTGCACGTGATGTATTTTACGTTGGAGGTGTTCGAGGTGGGGAAGCTTGAGTGTTTCGTAGCAAACGATTGGCCAATTCTTCCACTATTGACATTCAGCAGTTCTGTGTAAGTGAGCCCACTGCCGTGTCAAATCAGGGCACTTACAGGGCACACAGGGCAATTGAGCTTACGCTGTTCAGCGCTTTACGCGGAATAAAGTCGTACACCATGGAGTATATCATCAACACGGCCATGATGTTAATTCGAGCCGGCTGCAAGCTCATGCAATCCGTGTAACTATTTTTGGAATAAGAAATATGAAATATGCCAAGGTAGATGGTAAATAGACATGAGGAAATAAGACGGAGAGTAAATGGTTGGGTGTAAGGACAATTCGCTTATGTTAATGATCAAGAGATCAAAGAGCATCAAGAAACCATATGAAGACATGAAAGATAGAAAGAGAGACGCTCAGGGCACGCTTAAGACCGCCAACGCTGTGACTCAACATCGCTGTTCCACGCATTGCTGCCACCAGTGCTGTTGCCATAGCTTGGCCGTCTGGGGGGCGCAACACCGCCGCCCACGCCGACACCGGCACCCCGCCGACTCGACGCTGTCGTGGGACGCTCATTGAAGTACGAGCTGTACGAACTCTCTTCGGAAATCTGGCGGCCGTGGCCGTAGCCGAAGTTGCTGCTGGGGCCATTCTGAGCAACGGGCGTGCCTTGGCCCATCTGCGGCATGGGCGCCGTCATGTTGCGCTGAGGCGGACCGCCACCGTACGTCCGTGGTGACACCGGGTATGGGTTGGTGGCGCTGCGCAGGGGCGAGCTAAGGCCAGGACCAGCAGGACCTCCACCAGGCGCCGTTGGGCCAGGGCCGTAGGAGCGAGCAGACGGTGCAGGGCTGACGCGGCCCATGTTACCACCCTCGTCGGGACGGTAAGCAACATAGCGAGGACCTCCGTTGCCCGACAGCGAGTTGTTTCGGCCGGCGTTGACATTGTTGTAGCCGAAATCTTGCGAACCCGACTGGCTATTGCTGCGACTATTGGCATATGGAAGATCCGTGGACGGCATGTCGTTGATACTGCTGCTGCTGTTGTTGTGGTTGTAGCCATAACCTGCGGGCGACCGGGCAGGGGGTGGCATCTGAGGCATCGAACCCTGGCCAGGATACATACCCTGGTTGTTGGAGATGGACGAGAAGCTGCCGTTGCGGCTGTTGCTGCGCATGTTGCCGTACGGCATGGAGCCGCCCGTGTTAGTCCGATTGAGCTGACCCGGACCCGGGCCCGGGCCCTGACCATATGGCATTGGAGGACGTCCGCTGGGTAGACCACTAGGTAGACCGTCTCCTAGTTCCGGTAGTGACGGCGTAGGTGAAGACGAGCGGCCCGGTTCGGCGGCGTAGCCAAGCAAAGGCGCGCGGGTCGAAAATTTTGTGCCATTGGTTGGCGTAGATGCAGCCATGGTGGACATGGAGGCCATCGTGTCGGCGCGCGAAGGTGGCATCTTGGGCCGTGGCTTCTGGTCTAGGGCATTGAGCTCAAAGGTGCTGCTGTTGGTGGGAGCTTTGCCGCCAAACCCACCGGTGGCGGTACCGGGCCGGGAAGTGTACGGCGGCAGCGTAGCCATACTCGCCATCGTCTCGCTGCGCTGCAGCTGTGGCATCATCGGCAACTTGTTGTCGTCGCCAACGTTGGGAATGGTGGCGGTCAGCTCGGTGGGTGGCTGCACGCCGTTCTTGATGGCGGCCTTGAGCTCGGCTTTCTTGCGGCGACGCTCCTCCTCGGCAAGGGCCGTATTGACCTTTTTGGCAACAATCTTCATGAGCCGCTTGTTAATCTTGCGCGAGCAGTAGCCCGACAGGCCGCCATCGGAGCGCGGGATGTAGCTCCAGAGGAAAAAGACGAAAAAGAGGAATGCGAGCAGCAGCGACAGGAAGGAAAAGACCCAAATGATCAGCGTGAAGAGCATGCCAGACAGGATGACGGCCTCGCGGTAGTCGCCCTCGGCCAGTGTGCGGATCTTGTCGAAGAAGTCGAGGATGGTGTTGCCCACATTGTCGCCCGACGCAGATAGTTGCGCGTTGTACACAGAAAGCAGAGTCAAGGCATTGACGACTTGGCGCGGGCCCGAGCACAGCAGCACACGGATCCAGCTCTGGAAGCTGAAGTAGGTGAAGAGCGCAATGTACTCGGCGCCCTTTTTGCTCTTGGTGAGCTCGGCGAACACTAGGAAACGCTTCCAACCTTGGCCCTTGCCCCAGCGCACACTCTCCAGGCGCACAGCCAGGCTGTCGAGGTAGCACTCGGCGACACTGCCGCGGCGCATGATGCGCATGGCACGGATGTGCTCGTACGCGAGATTGACGACGGACAGAATGATACAAATCGAAAATATCCACTTAGAGGCCGTGAAGGAGATGAGCTGCGTGGGTGTGATCTCGGACGACCAACGGTCGAAGACGAGCAGGTTGACGGCGGTAAACGTATCGACGGCGTACACAGCGATGGATAGGCCGAGCGAGAAGTAGAGATAGGCGTAGGCGAGGGGCGTGAAGCAGGAGGACGACTTGAAGTCGTTGAGGCCGATGTAGTCCCATTTCTGCTCGGGCCGGACATCGGCCTTGTTTCCGTGGCTTAAGAAGCCCATTGCGTGGCGATGTGAAGGAAACGAGAGGATGAGCTAAAGAGACTCGACGTATGGCGAGGTAGGGGACAAGACGTAGCTGCTATATCGCGAGCATGCCGGGTGATCGGTGTCGATGCGGTATGTAATGGTATATAGAGAGCGTATATATCCCCTGATGTAATAAAGACTGGCAGAGTTGGACTCGTCTCAACTCAGTTGAACATACGAAGCCAAGGTGGGTATCCAAAAAGAGGGAATATCGAAAGAGAACGGACGGAGAAGAAACACAGTTTCTGTCGCAAAAAAAAAAAGGTTGATAAATGTCGACTGTCGAAGCCAAAGTCGATATCGATGTCGATGTGAGAAAACAAGAGAAACTCGGACCGGCCGTCAAACAATTACACTCAAAAAGGAGTGAAACAACAAAACAACACAAAAATCGAAATCAGAGCGGAGGTAGCGAAAGGAGGGTGTCTCCTCGTCTTTGCAAAGACTCAGGACAAAGACGTCGTTGACACAACGAAGCAATGTGAAGGTCGAAGCGACGATGCGTGGAGAAAAGAAAGTGAGGAAAGTGAGTGAGAGGGAAGTGGTTGAAAGAAGAGAGGAGTGGGCACAGGGCGAAAGAGCGTGCACACACAGTGAGAGAGAGGAGAAAGTGGTCCTGGTCAGGGCCGAGGTGGCCAGGGGGTTTAGACGCAGAAACGCCAAGACTTGAGCCAGGTGTAGGGCGATACCAGACCCCCGTCAGTGTCAGAGGATGCGGAGGGGGGTACAGAAGTACAAAAAGCAAATGATGAAGACGAAGGAAAGGCAAACGACCAGCGTTCACAATCCGTGGTCCAGGGCAAGTTGCAGTCCGAAAGACAGGCGATCAACAGTGGACCTCTGGGTCGGTCTGAAGCTGGAAGCCCGGTCACTGAGCCAAATGCAGCATGCAAAACGAAAATGCGTAATGCAAGCGGGGACTCAATGCAGACGCGGACGCAAAATATGAGACGGACCAAGGAACGTGGGAACGGCCATGCAAAGGGAAGAATACAGCTAGTGTGTAGAGGAGAGAGGGTCGTCCGTTTTGTTGATAATAATGGACAGTTTTGCGGACTGTTGGACGAGGATGTGCAGTAGATCACGGTGGCGGGCGTGTGATCGACAGAAGGGAGGAAGGGAGGAATTACGTCGCCGACAGTACTGCGAATTGAGAGCCAGGGAGAGGAACGGGACGCGAGACTGCCGCTGAGGCAAAGCGAGTTTTCGGAATCGAGGGTGACTGTGAGTGTGCGCAAAGTAATAATAAATAAGAATAGAGTGCAGAGGACGAGCCTTAAGAACGCTTTATGACTGTCGACGATGCTTGTTTTCTTTAAGTCGTCCCAGACAATTGTTGACAAGCGCCGGATCGACAGGAGAAAAGAAGTTCAGAGAAACAAAGATAGCTCCGAACGAGAGACAGGGCAGGCACAAGAAAGTGAATGGCTCTCCGTGCTCGGATTTGAAGACAGCCGGCCATAGATGAAAATTCAAAGACGAGTTGGAGGCCGATATGGTAACAATGGGCGTTTACCGTCGACTCCGGACGAAAGCGGCCACGCTCAGAGAGGCCACAGCGGTATTTGGTTGGATGTGAGACGTTGAGAGGACGGAGACAAAAAGGGAATGCCCGGAGGGAAGACGTGAGCCGCAAGAGACGCCGGAAATGACCAGCGACAGATGAACAATGGCGCAACACAACCGGGACGACACACGCTGACAGGATCGCAGACAAAGAGCCAGAGGAGACAAGCAAAAGAGACAGGATGAGGTATTCTGTACAGGACCCAACAGATTGCCTGTTGTCCTCTCCATGGTGGGTTTGGAGCAGGGATTAACAGGGGTATAAAGAGGGCGGGACGCATGCAGGAACGGATCAAGATACATAATACGTCGTGTACTCCGTATGTCGTACAACACACGGATGTATGAAGTACACAAGCAACTGATAGACACAAGGAGATGAAGAACAGGCCACAGACGGATCACTGGCATTCAAGAGACGTCTCGTTCTACAGCACGGAGTAAAGACACAGAGCACATAACGAGACCTCAAAGCAAGAAAATCTGTCAAACCAATTCGCAAAACTCGATGCAAGCAACTCAAGGATCGGGGCCAAGCTCAGGACCCGCGAACCATTGACCACGGTCCCGACGGCGCCAATTGTCCTGCGATGGCGGCGAAGAGAACGAGAGAAGTACCTCCGTAGACGTGGAAGAGGGCCTTGCGGCCTCAGACAACTGCCAAGATGGGCAAGTGGGTTGTGCGAATTGTGCGTGGGCGGGATGGACAAACGAAGAAACGAGTTGAAGAACAGGAAGAAAGAAAGGAGAAACGGATAAAAGAGGCCGGCGTCTCAATTCCTGCGGCCTGCAGCGAAGCGCAGGTGTCAGGGGTGGAATGGAAGAAAAGAGGAGAAGAAGAGAGGGTTCGTGAAGAAGGCCGTTTGTTGTTGTCTGCAAAAGAGAGGAGGGACGTGACGCTAGTCCTGTTTTGGTAATCTGCGACTGGTTGAAACATCCAATGCAGGTTGCTGATTGGCCAGCGCCTGGTCCCTGAGAAGAAGGAAGGAGGGACCGGGGAGTGGGCCCTGGCGGGAGATTTGGCAGCCGCTCTATTTATTGGAGTGAGAGGAAAAGGGGGGCCACACCGCGACCAGGGACGAAACAGTGTGGGTGAGCACTGGCAGGCCAGTCAGGGCCGGAGAACGGCAAAGAGCGACCTTCGGCAACGGGAGACTCGACTGAAGACCATACGACACAAGCAAACCTGCAAAATCTTGGAGAAGCCAGAGCAAGGCCCGGCGTCGCGCCTGCCGTCTTGAAACACACGAAGGAAAACTAAAAAAGGAAAGATGGAGGGGACAACACAGACCAATGAGGAAGTCGTGGTAAGTGATAGGAATATTGAATAAAACGAAACGAACGTCAAGAGAAAGCATTCGATCGGCTACACGGACATACCAGCCGTACGAAGTAAATAAATGCAAACGTCGCCCTGGCAGAAGCCAGACCCAAAATAGACAGCCAATACCACTCTCAGTTACAGGCCAAACTGCATTAGTCGACGACGACGGAGCACGGCAAATTTGTCGTATTTTGTGATATTGAGCTCCAGGAAAATAACATGGGCAATGGCACGGCGAAGCAGGTGAACTCTGAAAGACCAAAGCAAGGCTCGGAAACGTTTTATTTATTTTCTACTTGTTCTATTGTCGCCGAACGCCATATGTCAAAGGGCCGTCTCTGTTCTATTGTACAAATCTCCCCATTTGACGACGTCGCTGTGGACTCCCAGCCGATCCTCAAAGAACGTCGTATCGCAAGTCCTTCAAGCACCTCGAGTTGGTGTCGGCGCTTGTACCCTAGTCCCCCGCGTCTATGCAGCCACGTCCACCTCCTGCGGTTCACTCAACGCCGTCTCGTAGTCCCGAATGTCCTCGGGGCGCGGCTTCGGCCAGTGGGCCTGCTCCGACGCCAGGAACCCGTGGTACACGGCCGCCAGTTCAATCTGTTCCTGTGTCGTTAGGCCTGCCTCCGAGCCCGCCCGCCGCTTGACGCTCTCGGCCGTCTCCTTGAGCGACACGTTGTCGTCCTCCTCACTCACAAACTCGTACGACCGCCACTCTGTGTTCTTCCAGGCCGTGCCCCGGCCCGGGTCCACGCCCTCGTAGTCCTCTGTGAGAAAATGCAGGAACCCGCCATGCGTCACCACCACGACGCGGTCGTCGGCGCCCAGGTCCTTGGTCAGGTCCCGCAGAATCCGCCGTGCCGACTTGGCCCGCGCCGCCAGCACCGGCAGCGCAAACGCATACGGGCTGCCGGGACCCTTGTTCGTCCAGCCAACGTGCAGCCGCGACAGGTCGACCCTGTCAGCAGAGAACAGGTCGGTCTGCTTCTCAAGCACCGCGCGCGGTGAGCCGACGTCCGAGGGCATGGCCGACACCTCCTGGAGCTCGGGCACCGCCAGCACACGGACGCCACGCTGCGACACGGGCGCAAACGACAGCAGCGTCGTCTGCAGCGTGCGGCGCAGTGGCGAAGACACCAGCAAACGCACCTTGGCGTGGTTGTCGGCGCCGTAGACCTGCTGCAGCGTGGCACACTGCTCCTCGCCGAGCGACGTCAGCAGCGGGTCGGGCATCTTCAGGTTGTCCGAGCACAGGTTGTGGTAGCCCTGCGCATGGCGCACAAAGTCAATGACAACCATGGTGGGAGTTTGAGGTAACGGCGGGTGAAGTCTGGTGACGTGTGGGGTAGTGTAGAATTTTTCCGGGGGACGCTGAGGTGGATGTCACGGTGACGCGGAGGCTTCGTCACGAAAATTGTCGTGGTTGCGGTTTGGGAGGTATTGCGTCGCAGTTAGGAGGAAATTCGAGATCGTGGGACAGAAGACCAAACCGGAAGGAAGGAAGGAAATAAGAAAATAACAAGAATGGAAACAGTGAGAGCCAATGCGGGCGAGCATTCGCCTTTCGGGTAGGAAAGACCGACACCTCCGAACGACGGCCGTAAAACACCGCTCAGGCTGGTCAGGAAGGTGCGAATGTATGCGCGAAAGGCACAGCCGCCTAATTGCCTCCGGACACGGCGTCGTTACGGTCACCCACGTGCAAAAGTGAGTCAATTGCAGCTTGCCAATTGGCAGCAGAATGGCAAACAACACGTAAAAGCATACTATTTTCGGCCGGTCGGGGCCTAGAGACTAACGGAAAATTCCACCGTTCAGGAACGGGCAGCGCAGCCAAAATTAATACTGTAAGTCGTAGTTGCCCTTTTGGGTCAGTCCGCCGTCTCTCGCCATCCACTTGCACTTTCACTTGTGTCACCTGCGAAACACATCTGCACCTTCTTCAAAGAATGATGTCCATCGTTATGTCGGCAGGTACGCCCTGGGACTCTGTTGTTCGCCGCCCCTATTTCAAAATCGTCTTCAAGCCTTCAAACATGTACTCCAAAATGCCCTCACCCGACAACGGCGCGACACCGCATTCCATGCTTCGATATCGGCTGCACCACCTGAAACAGTGTCCGGTTGCTTCCGACCTGTCGGCCATCCCAGTCACTTGCCGCGCGCAATACTTTCCGCCGGCTGTCGAAGCAAATACTCAGCGAGCTTTCGCTGCAGACGTGCGTTTCGTTTGTTGGTCTGGGTGGTCGAACGCCTCGTGGCTACACCGCTTCGACGACTCGTGACAGGCCGCGGCACCCGGGCCGTGCTGATAGTGTCCGGAAGCACGCCGATGCATGCGGTTCCTGTGTCGGCACGGTGGCGAGGTGCGATCGATGTTCTCGCGGCCGGTGCCCGATGAAGAGACAACGCGTCGTCCTCGCCCGGCCGCACTCGCCTTCTTTGATACACACAAGTGTTGACGCCGCCGTCGAGACCCCCTACCAGCGTCTGGGGTGGGGGCTTGACGTACCCAAATTTCACGCGCCGTGCCCGGTCCAGCAGCACCATCTTGTGGCCTGTGGGCAGATCCGGCGCGTTTGGGTCATTGGCGTGGATGCGGCGCACATTGTCAAGCAGCCGGGTGATGTCGCGGTTTTCGTTGGCGAGGTACCGTCCGTCATCGCGAAAGCGGTCGCCAATGTCGTCGTCTTCGTCCTCATCGTCGGCACCGTCCCGCGAGATACCGCCTCTCTCGGTCCAGCGTTCGAGAAACCGGCGAGTCGCTCTCTCTTCGGCAGCGGCCGCCCGCGTCGCAGCCGTGACCTGTGGCACATACGTGTAGTCCAGCTGGTCGTCGAGAACGACATCAAACGACGGCTCTTTTCCCATTTTATGCGAGGGCGATAGTTGGTGAGTTGCTTCAAATGGTGGAATTCAAAATATAACGAATATGTGCGATACTTATGTCGTTGACTGTCTTGTTTTTGATTTCAACAAAATATCTGGGTCAATCACAAACGTAAAAAAATGCGTTTACATCCAATTTATTCTTATAATTTACAATAAAAAACTACTGCATTCGGTATTGAAGAGCTAACAAAAAAGAGGTCGTGTTCGTTGATGCACCAAGAGTGCCCAATCCGGATGTTCTTTGTCTAGAGGACAACCAACGGAATATTGACAAAAACAAGACCAACCAACCACAAAATGCATCACTGCCGGTCTTTTGCTGCTGCTGCAGATGCAGCAGCACCGCCCGTCAACTTGCTGTAAGGCGTCTCACCAGGAAAAAAGCTGGTCGGCACCGCCGGAATCGGAATACTACTAGACAAGCCCAGAGTCGTGAGATCGGCTGCCATGGTCGGCGCATTCCAGCCCGACGGTGCCGATGCCACCGTCATGGTCGTCACAGCGTAGCCAGCCAGCGATCCCCCACCTGCAGCTGCACCTCCTTTCAGGCATGCGCCCTCGCCATATGCATTTGCGCATTTGTACAATTCGCGCGATCCTGTCTCCGTCCACACCGCAAAATCGCTCACCCGGATTCCAAAGCAAGGCTTTGCGTCCGGACACACAATATTGACAGGCGCACGCCGATTTCCGTCACTGCACGAACCGTGCCAGCCAGTGAAGTTGAGGTCGCGGAAGAGAACGCCGTCGCCCGCTGCCTTCTTGAGCTGCGACCAGTTGGCATCGATGTCGAGCGTATAGGCGTTGTGACGCCCGACAAAATTGCTAAACGAACAGTCGCGCACGGTGCCGCCGCCGCCGTGGGACTTGATCATGAACATCTGATTGCAGTTGGCTGAGTAGACTTTGTCAAAGCGAATGTCATGAATGTCTACGTTTCGAGTTACATGTTAATCATCATCATCTACCCGACTGGGATATGACACTGAGTGATGCGGATAGTCTTACCGATAGCGCTTCCGCCGAGACTCCCCATGGCACATCCTGGACATTGTCAGCTACCACAGAAAAGAAGTATCGATCAGCACATCACCGTCAGGCTCACCGCCTGACCAGTTGCAGTATATGTTCTCAATGAGCATGTGCTGTGACGGGTCCTTGATTGTCACACACTCGTCACGGTTCGACACCTCGATGTCGTGCAGCCACACGTTGGAACCGGACACGTCGATGCCGTCTAGTCCGCCTTTGCTACCGCCCCGAATGATCATGTTGTATATCTCTCCGTTGGTCACCGTGTCCATAAACAGGTGGAACAGCGGCGAGTCCACGAGCGCAATATCGTGGACCGAAAAGTCCTGCATGTGCGCCAGGCGCAGGATCCGGCAGCCGTTCTTGTTGTCCTTGTGGTACTCGAAACCGTTGCCTTGGATGGCACCCTGTGACGTGCTGCTATAAATCTCGACATCCTTGCCCTTCTCGATGTAGATCATGTTGCCGCCGGCGGTGCCCGTTCGGTAGATAATGCCGTCCAGCTGCAGTGCCCAGCCCTGGCCACCACTGAGGCTCACCCACGTCGACATGCCATACTCACCGGGCGGTACATAGATTGTGCCGCCTGTTTTGCAAGCAGCAAATGCCGCGACGAGTGCGGGACCAATGTCGGACGACTTGCTAGCAGTGGCGCCGTGGTCGAGAACGCTGCAAACTTTGGCTGCGCGCTTGGCGGCTGTTGATGTCGTCGGTCCAACACGGCCCAGCAACTGCGCGTGGACGGAATGGGGCGCAACGAAGAGGTTGAGTGCAACAAGAAGTGTGAAGGTAAAGGCCAACCTGGCCAGTGGCCAGTGAGGCAAGCTGTACCGCAGCATCTCTGCAAATGCGATTCGAGAACAGGTGTCAAATTCGAGATCGGTCTGCAGGCTTCAAAACGAAGGCAACATCTCAGGATTGACTACCACGACTGCCACATAAAATGTAGATGTCAGAAAGGATCGAGCCGAATAGTGCGAGTCAGTCGTACAACAAGTCGATTCGGGGCCGTCGCCTACAGTCACCCATGGTCCAAGCCGTGCCTTCCATAGCTGTGGGTCTTGAAGATGCGGAGAGGCCTTGCTAATTAAATCTTTATGTCTACTTTATCGCAATGGAGATCCCTATGGCTTGGGTGCGGGATATAAACGTCACTCTTATATCCACGGAAGGGGAATTTATATTTGCAGTGACTTTTCCCGGTGGAAACGACACCCGGGACGAGGGCTGACTCCAAGGTGGGCCGAGAAGGGACCCAAAAAGGTATTTTCGAGCAATATTTCAACGTATTGAGATAACCCTCGTGAACTTAAATATTGAGCAATAAAAACGTATTGTATTGGGACTGGGGTATGTATAAAGAAGTTGGATGAGCTCAAAAGAGAGAGAGGGCGAGAGAGAGAGAGAGACAGAGCGAAACGCACATCAAAGAGACTGGAAACGACTACCATTACAAGCAGAAATCGCATAAAAGCAAGACAGATACAAGAATAGTGTAGAAAACGTAACAACAAGAGAGAGGCAGAGAGGCAAAAGCCCCAATAAAGCAGGCATCAACTAGCCCTAGCACACGTCGCACTCTACCACGCCACTCCCCTCATAGTTCAATCAGAGCCTCCTCAACCACAGGCTGCTGTGGCACATGCTGCGGTGCCGACGGAAAGCTCTCCTGCGTACCAAAGTTGTTGTAGCCATTGTTGGGCACCTGCGGCCAGGAGGCTTGGGGGGGTTGCTGTTGAAGAGGTTGCGGCGGGCCAGAGGTAAACTGCTGCGGCACCTGCTGGTGCTGCGACGCTGGGTGAGACCAGTATGGTGCGGTCGGTGCCTGGTGCTGCTGCTGCTGCTGCTGTTGCTGAGGTGACTGTTGCTGCCGAGGTGGCTGTTGCTGTTGAGTGGGGGCCTGCTGCTGCTGGACTGGAACCGAAGCAGTCGTGGCCGGTGTTTGAGGGACGGAGGCCAGGTACGCGGACGGCTGTCGCAAAGTCGGGTAGGGCGATGTTGCGGCAGGATCGGACGGTACGCTGGCCGGGCCGGTTTGCTGCGGCTGTATGGGCTGTGTGGGCTGGGAAGGCTGGGAAGGCTGGGAAGGCTGGGAAGGCTGGGCCTGTTGCTGCTGAGGGGGCACCTGGCCAGGTGTGGCGTTGGCGTTGCTAAAGTAGTACGAGGCGTTCGGGTCGGCAGAGGGGGTCGAGGCAAGCGGATCAGGTGGTGCACTCGGTACGCCGGGAGCCGATGGGTCGTTGCTGAGATACCCTTGTGGTGCCTGGGGCTGCTGTTGCGATGGTTGCTGCTGGGGTTGGGGGTACCCCTGGGGCACTTGGCCGGGCGCGACTGAGTTCCGCCAGCTGTCGGATCTCTGCGGTTGGCCAGGGTATGGGTTGGCAGCAGATGGCCCCGAGATCGACCCGTGCTTGTCATACCCGCTATACTGCGGTTGGAGGGCCTGCGGGCCGCCATAGCCACCGGGCTGAGCCATCTGTCGTGCATAGTCGGGTATCGCAGCGGCTTCACCAGTGTAAAAGTTTTCGGCAGGACCGCCAGCACGCATCGGTGGTGCCGAGGACTGGAGCGACGGGTAGGGCATAGATGGTGGTTGTTGCTGCTGCTGCCGAGGGCCGGGAATATTGTAGCCGCCGAGGCTGTGCTGGTTATAGGCCTTGGAGAGGCGCTCCTCGAGCATGCGGTCGTAGTAGCGGACGACGGTTGACAGCTTCGCGTGTAGGTCCAGGAGGGTGTCGTGCTTGCTCATTGTCTCGCCGTACGTCCGTGCGAGCTTGGGTCGCAGCGTGCCGATGCTATCGTAGAGCTCCTGGATCTGGGGTTCGCGAAGAATGGTGCCAGGCGGTTGCGTCTGCAGGCGGTCGACGAGCGTGGAGAACAGGTTGATGTTTTCGGCTTCGACGGGCGTGAGCTCATAGTCGTTCTTCGGCAGCACAAAGGGCGCGGATGTCGACACGCTGCCGTTGCTGCCGCTCTCGGTCTGTTGGCGGAAGGCCGCCGCATGCTTTTTCTTCTGCTCCTCCATGTCAGCGAGGGACGCCGCGATCGCGGCCTTCAAGTCCTCGTCTTCCTCCTCCGCAGAGCCACCAGAGGTTGTCTGTTGGTGCGCGTTTGTCGTGGACGTAGACACGGTGGCCGTCGTTGCTTTTGGCACGGCTCCGTATGCCGAAGAGGTAGACTTGCTATTGGACGTCTTCGAAGCGCTGTTGTAGTTGCTGCTGCTGGGAGCCGCCGCCTGGCTGTTAAATGTCCGCGAGTGGCTCTGGACCTCTTCCAGGCTCATGGCCAGGGCCCGCTTCAGGTCCTCGTCAAAGCTGTCCTCAACCCGTGCGTCGCGCGGCTGCATCGCCGACTGTGTCTTAGGCGGCGGGTGCGACGAAAAGCCAACGGACGTGTTGCCTGCACCGCCGCCGCCGCCACCGCTGCCACCAGGGCCCGTCTTGTCCGTCAGCTTGGCGTAGCAGCCATCGTCGACACGCACGGGTTGCAGGATGCCGAGGTGGGGGAGTGGCAGCGACTTGGTCGAGCACTGCTGGTCGAAACAGTTGCCGCAGTTGCGGCAGTGGTGCTTGCGGTTCGTGAAGGTGAAGGCGGTGCGGCATCGCATGCAGACGTCCGAGTCGACCCACTCGGGCGGTGCGCTGCTATCAATCATGCTGCTGGCCACAGTCGTGCGCGGCGGAAACTGGAAGCCCTCGCGCTGCAGTTTTCTGTAGACCTCACCGATGTAGCCGAGTTCGTGGCGGCCCTCGGTGGCCGACGCCCAGGACTGGATGAGCTCGAGGATCTTGTTGCGGACCTCTTGGTTGATAGCGGCGGGCCCGGCTGCGTTGAGCAGCGATGTCAGGTTGTCCATGAACTCGCGGGAAGCGATCTCGGTGAGGAAGTGCGTGCCGCCATTCTTCACGCAGGTGTCTGTGAGCTGCGAGGCAGGAGGGTTTTGCGTT